GAAACCGATTCACTGACCCAGGTGATCTTATCAAGTATGCTGAGGATGCCACCATAGGTTCCGAATTCCTAGGTGATTTCCGTTTTTCACAGCTTCAAACCAGTTTAGCTGTCCTAAGCTTATGGTCTTCGTATTTCAAGTTATCTTTCAATGCCACTAAATGCAGGGATGTCACCTTCTCACTAACCAAAGCAGAACGGGTACATTTTTTAAGGAATTGTTCCGTACTCTATGCTGACAACCAGCCTGTTACCCCAGTACGTTCTCTGCGATACCTCGGTGTTACTATCTGCCAAGTTCTCATCTGGACTTCACATTTAAACTCTACTTTTAAAAAGATTCGACGATTGTGTTTCTTTATTTTCCGCTTGCGATCTTTAAAAGTTCCACTGTATTTACTCACCTGATTTGTATATTCTTGTGTTGTTACTCATCTTCTTTACTGTACCCCAGTTTTTTGCCAGTCTTATAGATTACACAATTCTGGGGTGGTTTATTAAAATTATTTCGCGCACAAGCGGTATCCCTTATTTGCATTTGCTTAACTTTATCGCCGATAAACGTTCTGCCTCTTGCAAAAACTTCTGCAACAATATTCTATCAGATATCACTCACCCATTACACACAGAACTTAAACAATGCGTATCCACTTCTGTAACTAGATGTCGTTATAAACTGGTGTATGGTCGTACCACTGCCTATCGTTTGTCTGTTATCCCATATGTTTCGAGATTTCTGTCACAAAAGGCATCCATTAGAGAAAACTTTTTGAATTGGCTACGCCAATGATATTCATTTTAAAACTTTTACGCCACATTCCTCTTAAATATACGATACTGTATATTACATTTTCTGTGTCTGTATGCGATGATAAATGATCCCGGTGTACAAGGAGCTGAGAGTCCATCCATTAGCTTGAATAAAGCGATTTTTGCCTTTGAGGTAGACCATTGCCCTGTTCAAGTCATCAGTGTTGAGGCCAGCACAACAAGCGTACTGTCCTCACACAATTACCTCCCTCCCTCTATTTACGACCACACACCTGACCGCGGTTACTTTTGCGGTAAAAAATCGGTGCGCGGGCGGATCGTTGCGTCGAAATGGTTTCATCAAAGCGAATTCAGCTGTGGGACCGAAACCGATGGTAGGGACCCAGGCTGCCTGGCACCGGATGCGAGCAAATCGGTTGGCGCAGTATACAGAGTAATCGATAGATAGACAGACAGACTGACGAAAAAACGGTCGCTGGCATTGCCAACGGAGTAGGATTAACAGCGCACACATGCATGTATACGTTAGCAATTCGATGACGAAGCATTACCGTAGCTAGGAGGATAGACATATCACCTGCAGTCGCGACAACAACGGGGGTACAAAGAAGGCAGCGAGGCGAATGTTTGTTGAACAATTTGATTGGCTGACTGTAAAGTGGACCTTACTCCTGATTGGTCCAAATTTTGACCACGCTCCAATGGTCTGTGTGGAATCGCTCACACGGTCGATAACATGTGGCTGAACCGAACAATGACGCCGTTCGGTCATTTCGATCCTTGCTCGCTGCCTGCTCCCGTCCACCTTCATCCGTGGTCCCAAGATGCGAGAGATCGTGCACATTCAAGCTGGCCAGTGTGGTAACCAAATTGGTGCTAAGGTAAGTTCGCTCACTGCTGGTGAATCGTTGTGGTCCCATGTTAGCAACCACACGGCAGATTATTACGTGCTTCGCGTATGCTGTTTTCCCGAACTGCATTCTATCATTCATCAATTCATTGGCTTGTCTAATCTCGATTGTCCGTTCGTTCCATTTCATCCACTCAGTTCTGGGAGGTGATCTCCGACGAACACGGCATTGATCCAACCGGGACGTATCACGGAGATTCTGATCTACAATTGGAACGGATCAACGTGTACTACAATGAGGCAACCGGTGGAAAGTACGTCCCTCGCGCTATTTTGGTCGATCTTGAGCCCGGGACCATGGATAGCGTTCGTGCTGGCCCGTTCGGTCAGCTTTTCCGACCGGACAACTTCGTGTTCGGTCAGAGTGGCGCCGGTAATAACTGGGCCAAGGGTCACTACACCGAGGGTGCCGAGCTTGTAGATTCAGTGTTGGATGTGGTTCGAAAAGAGGCTGAATCGTGC